TATGTATATTTGCTAAGAGTATAATTTATGTGCTCAAAGTTCTTTGCAAACAAGATAAAAAGCGACCCTGCTTTGCTGCATTCTCTGAATCTTATCATTGCAGCATCGCTTTTCTATAAAACCTTATAACGGTAAACCTACATGTATGCATGTGATGCACTCAATTATTTAAATCAATTACACATACTCATACAAATGTAAGCACTTTTTAACAATTATATACAWTTGTATGTATATGAAAGTGTATGTATTTATGTATGTGTATGTGTGTGTTTGGGCTACTGCATTTATAACTGCGCGCTTTAAACATTTTTCAAGGGTGATCGCGTCTAATTGATGCTTAAGACAACACAATTTGTAAATTGACAAGCAAAGTAGTATCAGTAGTGTGTGTGTGGGTCTGTAAAATGGGTGGTTGAAGTGGAATGCGGTGAACGTCGGCAATGCTGGCAGCCATTTAGAAAGCTAACGGGCCAACCATCAACATAATAACCCATCGCGACCAGCAGCTTCAATCTTTCAATCTGTTTAACTTCAATTCAAGAGCAACAAAAAARGAGGCAACTAGAACTGCTTGTCTAGGGAGTTAATTGTTTCAATTATTAATTTGATGACTGACAGCAGCTTGACAGTGAGTGACATTCAGCCCATCGTTTCTCACGTTATGCTAAAGAGCGTAAATATGAAAATTGTTTGCTAAAGAGCAAAAAGCAACAACAAAAGCACAAAAAACTGTACCAATGGCAAGCAAAAAAAAAAAAAACATTTCAATTAATTTGATAATATTTAAAATAATAACTTTCATTGCTATACGAAGAAATGGCATTTTTCAACGAAATCTAAATGAATGAAACCGGCAGCTGCTTGAGTAAATAAAGAAGTATACATTAATATACATATATATAAGTAAAGGAAAACTTAACTTAGGTTGCACCGGTTACAAGTAAAAAAAAAAGTTTTCCATACAAGAACTTGATTCTGATCGGTTATTTTGTATGGTAGCTATATAATATAGTGGTCCGATTTGAATAATTTGTTGAGTGATTATAGCGTTGCTTTGGAAAATAATATATGTAAAATTTCGTGAAGATATCTCGTCAAATAAAAAAGTTTTCCAAAGAAGAACTTGATTTTRATCGATGAGTTTGCATGGCAGCTACATATATGCCACAGTGATCTGCTCTGAAAAATGTCTTCGGAGAGTGTATTGTTTCCTTGAAAAGTACTCTATGCCAAATTTAGTAAAGATATCTCGTCAAATAAAGAAGTTGTCCACAYAAAAACTTCATTTCGATATTTTCGTTTGTAGGGCAGCTATATAATATAATGGTCCGATTTGTTAAATGTCTTCAGAGATTTTACTGCTGCCTTGAAAAGTAACCTATGCCGAATTTTGTGAAGATATCTTGTCAAATAAAAAMGTTTTCYAWACAAGAACTTGATTTTGATCGRTSAGTTTGYATGGCAGCTATGCTATATATGCCAATATACACGGTTCGGGCAAAAGAGCAGCTTCTYAGAGAATAAAAGACGTGAGCGAACGTGTTTAAAACGATATCTCAAAAAACAGAGCGACCAGGACTCAATCATTTAATTA